TGCAGTCAAGAGTGGGGAAGGCAGTGTTTTATCATTCATGCTGACTGTTCTGGGTAGTCTGCTGAAATTAAGTTGGTCTGGAAAGTGTGATTCTTAAAAAGAAATAGGGTGCTAATCGGTCTGCTGCAGCTGCACCTTCTCTTTGGGGCTATGTGAATCGTGGGTGCTGGCAAGGTCACTGAAGCAGAAACACTGATACTCATTTTCTAGCCCCAAAAGTCACTTTAAAATTAACGTTGAGGCATTGTTGACAGAACTTGTCAGTGACTCACAGCAGACTTTTCAGATACAGTGTTTCAATAGCAACCTGCAAAACCATTGTGTTATATGCTTGCTTGCAAGGGATACAGTCAGAAATCCTCTAACCTCTTAACGTTTGCTCAAGTTGAATTAAATGTAACGAAGCATTTCTGAATTGGATTGACAAGTGCAGCTTGTCTGCCCAAGACTAAAAAAGCTCCACAATGCAGCACGTCTGTCGTGACCATCTGCAGCTATGTCTATCTTCAACATTTTAAAAGCCACTTAGAGAGGTATCTTGATCCAATAGAGATTAGTGTTGTGCTAATCTTGTGTGAATCTCGTTTGGCTTTAGTTGTACAGGGCAGTAACATCACAATGAGCACTGGAGGCAGAGGGACTCTACACAGTGAGTCACCCTGTACAGTCCTTACTTTGCTGGTGCCCACATGAAGAAAAGTCAGTCTTTAAGTCTCCAAGACTGAGTGCTCTACAGAGCCTGTTCCTCAGGACTTAAGGATCGATAATTCTTATTCCATGTGCCTCCAAAGTCCAGCACTACAGTACGGAGTGACCTGAATAACTGATGCGTGTAGTCTAGTTTCCCCTCTTGCTTAGTTTAAAGATTTTACTAAAGTAAGATTACTGAAGTTTTTCTCTTGACATGTATAACCTTGACAGGGTTTAGCTTAGCCCAGCTCAAAGATGGTTTTGTGTGTAAATTTATTTGGGGCTCAGAGAAGTAATACAACTATCTGCTAGACTTTCTGCTGTCTGCCTGCCTGATCTGGGCTCTGTACATAATACAGTGACAGTCTGTGATTTCTTCTTTTCTAGCAGCACTGCAGGATGGTGTGCTGCTGCCTGCTTTCAGTATTGCAGTGGTTAAATTGCTTGTGTGTGGTTGTTGCTTGCTCTGAAGGCATTTAAATACATGCTGCTGACCTCTCTGTAAAATGCAGGGATTTCTATCATGCAGGAGGAGGTTAGAAGTTGTCTTTGATTCGAATTAACCCCTGACTTCATGGGGGCTTGGCACAGGGTGCTGGGTTACCATGTGCGCAGTAGGTGTTGCAAGGCTCAGTCACACTGTGTATTTCTCCTTTTAGATCTGTTCCTAGACACTCTTACAACGCTTTCCTCTTCACTGGTGGGTGGGATTTCTGGAGTAACTGCTGGTAAGGGGGTTGCACGTGTTGAATCACAGCAAGCGGCAGAAGGGATAGTGGCATTGTAAATGGTTCTCCTGGTGTGCTCGTTCACTCCAGAGTGCTATAAACAAGAGACAAAAGAGACTTAAAATACCAAAGTTCCAGACCTGCCAGCTGTTCCTGTGCCCAGTATGACACTTGTGCACAAGCCTAGTGCTCAAAGCTGGCAAAACGCTCCTGGCAAGGAGATGCTCTTGTCTGTGAGAGCTTTCCAGGACTTTTCCTGGCAGGGACGTATCCTGGAGAGGAACCTGGCCGGTGAGCAGGTCTGAAAAGCAGGATCTTGTGAAAAACAGGCAAAAATCTCATGCAAGGGTTGTTTGCTCTGTAGGTTATTCAGTGGGGGATGATGGGGAGGTTGGAATGTTGTCAGGGAAACTAGAAACCACTGTGGTACCCAGAGCAGTTGATGTGTGGACTGTTGTAGCACAGGGCACCTGCTTTGTGGTGCTGAAAGTTTGATGCATTTCACACCAAAAATAATCAAGCTTCTGCCTGTCGCACAGGTCTCAGCCAGACCTGCTCACATCAGTTGGCATGAGAAGTCAGGTGTAGTTCACATAAATTCATTCATCTGAATGTTAGGTCAGGTGGAGCCATGGGTAGATGCTGGAGTTGGGTTTTCCTGTCCCTTGCCCTCACTGTGCCCTGTCTCACCCTACCCCAACGAAGCATCTCAAACCACCTCTGCTTGCACCCACTATGTTAAAGCAGCAACAACCTCCTGCAATAAGCAAACACCAGGTTTCTGGCGGATTTTGGCATACACCCTGTATGTTTTTCAAGGTGCTCTGTGAGCATGTTGCTGACGCCAACCTCAGATTGACTTAAGGACTAGCAACATGCTTAGTTTTACCCCTAAGTGCTGTTGTCCACTGTATTCGGTTTGCCTTCCCATTTGGTTTCTGGCCTCACATGTTCGTCATGATGCTTAGAAGTACTTTTGCATTATGAGCAAGTAGAAATTCGCATAAGAACATTGGTGGTTAACGGGATGGTTACGAAACCACAAGGCAGGTTAAGCAATTTAGTTGGATATTTGTATCTGGTGAATTCAGATGAACCCTTCCAGAAAGGGATGGTTTTCATCACAGTGCTGCTGCTCTGGAGCTACACTTATCTTCTGTGTAATGGCAATCGGAGAGGCTTTTGTAGTGCCTCTCATGAAACCTCTTTACCTTGGCAAATGCAAGTTCTTCAGCACATGTAGTCAGAAGTGAACTGAAAACATGGGGTTGCAGGCGGTGATCTTGATTTTATACCCTGATATAGGTGCAGAGTGACATTCAGGAAGATACACTGCCATTCATTCTGTGCTGGAACAGAAATAAGGATTTAGAAGAGTAGAGTTCATATGCGGAAAGGACAGTAATTAACAACATACAAATGAACTATTGCTTTTGATTCATATAACTTCATCAGAGTGGAAAATAAAAAGAACAGAGAATGAAGATGAAGAAAATTAAGGGGTGATGGGGTAAATAATTAGAAACTGAGATCACAATCTAAATCTATCTCTGCTGGGATTTCTCTTAAAGTGGCTGCTTTTCTTCTCGCCTTTCCTGCTAACCGGCCTTTATGGCAGTTGTCTGGTTTTTGCTGCTGTTAAGCACATCCCATAGTGTGGTCCTGTTCTTCCTGTGCTGCCTCAAGTGTGCCTTTCCTCTCATCTCCCTGCATCAGAGGTATTCTTCAGAGCGTATCCTTGTTAGCTCCAGGTGGCACAAGTGGAAGTTCCTAAACACTTGTTCACATGTTGAACTATCTATAACCATTCTGTGATTCTATGTAACTGACTTCTTGTTCATCCTGAGTGCCCATCAGCTTTCCCTCAGTGAAAATGAAATGAAATTGCAGGGAGAATGAAGGGGAATGCTCTCAGTATTGATGTTGGTTAATCGATATGTGTAATTGAGTGTCTGGTTTCATGGAAGAAACTTGACTTCTGCCAGGTATGTTACCATCTGCAAAATGTTAAGCTGAGTGTAAATCATACTTTGTCAATCTGTGACTGACAGCATCTACTGTTTTGTTTTGGTTTTTTTTTTTCACATAAGAGATTATAAATCAAAGATAAGTTCTAATAGTTCACAGATTTTAATCAGATTGAGCTCTCTTACTTTTAGACCATTGGTTTATTACCCTTGGACATGGTAATGCAACCAGCACAGCTCAAGGGTTTCATGCAGTTCCTTTGCTAAGGGTTACCACCCATAACGGAGCAGACAGAGGAGAACATGTACCTGTGTTCTGCCACTCTAGTTTGCTTTGGCATATTACCTGAAACCTGTCTTCAGTGCTGGTTTTGTAAGCTGAAACACAGGGCTCCCTTCCCGCTGACTGTTGTAGAATAGGGGTGACGCACTGGGGATAATCTGCAAACCCTTCATAGCAAGGTTCAGAGCTCATCTGTCAGTGCAGTGAGGTAAACTAGTTTAGTGCCTTGGAATAACAAGTAAAATATCCAAATCTCCTATTTTTCTAAGACAAATCTAGGCATGAAAATGAAGAGCTTGTAATTTAACTAGTCAGACAAATAACGTCTGTGTCCCAGACGCTGAGATGCCTGATAACCCTGTAAAGGTTACTATGCCAACCGTTGCTTTTTGGTGGTGGTTTGGTTTGATTGACCCATTAGTGAGACTTTAAACCTCTTGCCTTCCAAGGAGGGAAGCTGCTTTTTCTTTCTAGGAAGTTCTAGCCTGTGGAGTTCTCTCTGCAGGTCACAAGGAATCAGAAGGGAAAAACCTCCAAGTTCTTTGTGTAACTGCACCTGCAGTAATGATACTACAAATGACTCAATCTTATATTCTGCCAGCATATTACAACATAATTGAAAGCTCATTTTCAGAGAAGGTATTCTCTTCTTGACTCTAAAACCTACTATATATATGTATATATAGCCCTTGGATTTTGGGGATGTATCTTTTTGAAATCTGTCATGTGTTTTTTTCCACACTAGTCTCTTTGATCCTGAATTTACTCCATCTTTCATTTGCTAACGTGCTTCCGAAGCACCCATTCCTTTTGAATTCCAGGAACAACATCATGAAAAGAGGAGCTTTAATGGTGTTCAGTGGAGGCTCATGCCTTGTGTAGAATTTGCTTTTAAGTTGAGCAGCAAGAGTCTTAATAAATGACCTTCTAAATCTTATTTTGATTTTATTCAGGTATAGTAGTGTGCTCATTAATAATGATTCCAGCAGTAGGTCTCCCATTACAGCTTTTTTTGTTAATTAAATAGGATGTAAGATGTATTGGATGTTTCCAAAATGAAAATGGGAGGCTTTAATAGATTCACTGATTAAGAATACTGGTCTGCATACATGATGGTGCCCTGGAAAATATCACGTAAAAGCTATAGATAAAGTACTGTTCTGAAACAAGCAAAACTTGCTTCCTCCCTCTCTCCTTTCAGGCTAAAAACTACTTCTTTGTGATGGTTTTACGGTAAGGAAGATGTTTAATCTCCTCTTACAAGAAGGAGATGCTGTTAAGGAAAGGTTTTGCATGTTGTTTATTAAATATATCCAATCTTTTGTTTAAAAGGTATCATATGTGAGGCAAAAAAAAGACCCTTACTTTGGCGATGGACAAAGGAAGAAGGACTGGCATAACAAAGAAGCTATAAGGAGGGACTCTGAGCGTGTAGGTAAGACTACTGTAAGAATGTTTTAATACACACTGTAATGTAGTGTGGTTTTATTTGGTAGGTTGAGTGCAGAACAGCATATTCAAGTTCAGGGTCAAGACGTTCTTGACATGTTGCAGCAGTTATTGTTTGTTAATCCCAGTTAAAGCCTTTTCCCCAAGCTCCACAATAACCATTTTGAGGTGAAAATATCTTGATAACATTTTGGTAATTTTAGGATAGGTGCAGCATATTTTTTTTTTTATTTTTTTTTTTTTTTTTTAAAACCTACCAAAAATGTGTGCCTGCACCTCTCCCAAATATGGGAGATCCAGAAAGGAAGGAGAGAGGCAGGAAAAATGTTCTGAATTATAACACTCATGCAAGTTTTATTCTATAGTTCTGGGATTTGTCTTGCGTTGCATAAAAGGACCATTTTGAACATTACAGCATTACACTGGCGTGTCTGCAAGGGCTTTACCTCCCCTCTGCAGGAGCTCAGGTTGTTAAATATACATATCTGTCTGTGCTGAAGAAAGCAATAGTGATGAGGTATTTAAACCATATGCATTCTTTCTGCAGCGAAGCAAAAAATGTTCTATAGATCCTCCACAGTGTTGCTATAGCCCCTTCATCTGTTTCTGATGTTAGAGGGAAGTCTTTCAACTTCCATGATTTGCACAGCTGAGTGGTTTGTAGCAAAACTGCTTATCAAACAAAATGGTTAGGTTGGCACGGTTGCCCCAGTGCTAAGTATGACACAGAGCTCAAAACTAATTGAGGAATTCTCAAAGGGCTATGACTGCTTTTCTTCTGGTATATGGATTAATTTCTGGCCAGTTAAGCACCAATTAGTAGTAATGATGCCTGTTTCTTTTCTGTCTATAGGAAATGGAGAACAGGGAAAACCTTACCCAATGACTGATGCAGAGCAAGTGGACCAGGCATACAGGGAAAATGGCTTTAACATCTTTGTGAGTGATAAAATTTCTCTGAATCGTTCCCTTCCAGACATCAGACATCAAAAGTGAGTATATAGTTCACATTTCTATGAGTGAAAGTTTACAAGCCCTACCTTGCCACATCTGCAGAAGTGTGCTCTTTTATATATGATGGACTCTAGTACCTTTGTTCATCAAATACAGACCTTTAACAGCTGGGTCCTGCTGTCTCCTTAATAAAGGGCAATGTGTAGTAGTTGCAATGGGAAATAAAGGAGTCTCAAGGTTTGAGTAGCTCTACTCAATTATGTATGAAGAGTTTTATCAGAAATCCTTCTGATTTGTGGATCAGTTTCTTGGACATCTTCCTCACAAAAGCCTTATCAGGGTTTACAAGTAGAAACTCGTTCCAGTTGAATGCTGCCTTTTGAGTTCATCTATTTTGGGACATCATCCCTTCAGATGGTGTCAAACTGGATTTTGTGCAAGCGAGAAGTAGTTTTTCATTATCAAAAGTGCTTCAGTTGGGATTTAACCCTTGTTCGTACAAAGCTGAGAAGCTTTTAAATACTGTTTGTGTAGCTGTTAATCTGAAAGCATTGTTAGATATTTGAATAGAAGCTTGTTTTGTGTAAAGCCCCTTTTATCACAATTTAGTGAATCTGAATTCAACATCTCCTTTATTCATGAGAGATAATTTCCAGGAGTCAGGTTTTATAATTTATTAGCTGCACATTTGAGAGATTACCTCTTCAGCTGTCACAGCAAACTAATCAAATACACTGGCTTGACACCCTTTCTCAATATATACCCATAAACCAGAGTAGTGAGTATAGCTCCATAAATATTTTAGGCATGCAGCTGAAATATTTAAACAGAGTGATAAATCAGGTAACTGAAGATTCTTGTTGATCAGCCCATGCTCCAGCTCTAGGAAATACAGTTTGAGTTTACTAACTTAAATCATACCTGGCCTCCATTTACAGAGGCTGCCATGGGCCCTGAGAATTTAAACATCAGACGATGCCAGTATTTCCTCATCTGAGGATGTAATATATTACCTCAAACATATTCCCCTTTGTTTCCCAGAGTTGCTGACTCCTCGTTGCTAATTCTGCTATTTGAACTCTTTAAAATGTGAAACTTCTTACTCTAGTCCCCAGTTAAAATTAATAAGTAAAGTGTCTGGAGCAGCAAAGACTTAAGCTGTGATTAATGATGCTGCTGCAGCTGGTTTGCTTGTTGCTTGACACATCCTTTCCCCCAGCGTAGTGAGTTATAATTGTGGAGGTCTCAAGGAGAGGATAAACAGTGTACGTACAACGGATGCTGGGATTAGCTGGGCAGGGAGTAGGGCTTCGTGTAATGGAGATTTGAAGTAAAGGAATTCATGACTGAAAAGGTCTGTTGTGCATTCCCTGGGCCCATTAAAAAAGATATACTTGAAATAGTGTGGTTTGTGTTATTTGGGAGGTTGATGGGGGTAATTTATAATGAAGTTAGGCTGAGACAAAGTCCGTAAGGAGCATTCTAGAAGGAAGGGAGCTGTATTTTAGAGCACTTGCTTTACCTAACCTTTTATGTACAGTAAGAGATAATAGACTTTCTGTTTTGGAGATGTACCTGCAGACAGCAGAGAGTATAAGGAGAAGGTGATTCAGGGAAAAATGCAGCATTTGTCCTGTCATAAGTTTTGGGACCACAGCTGGGATTCTCCCCAACAGCTGGCCTGGATGAGGAAGAACAAAAAAGCAGCCAATGTGTTTGCTCACATCATAGGTGGTTTGTGTGGACCTTTATATGTCAAATAGCGTCATTTCTGCTTCCTGCTAATCATGGGTATCGAGCCTGGGGGAGGGCATGTAGCGGGTCTACCTGATGCACATATATGATGTTTGCTTCAACAGTCACATTTGCTAACATTTTCTTTAAGTGCTTCTGGGTTTTTTAATATTAAATACTAATTTTGCAGGTCTTGTAAAGCAACTGTAGATGTGGTAGCTGGAGGGAAACAATTTCTCTTCATGCTTAATGGATAAACTTCATAGCTGAAGTTTCCCCCTTGTTAAAGTTAGTCAGAAAATGAGAATTCCAGTTTAAGAAGAGTTAGAGGATATTTGAGGGCTCTTGTTTCATATTGGAACAGAAGTATAGGTACTAGCTCTCCTGGAAGAAGGCTAAGATTGCAATGCCAAGGGCTGGATGAAAGCAGTCCATGCAGCTTTACTTTGCATCTTGCATCTGTGCATTGCAGCCATAGCCTGCAAGCGCTTGGCAGCACCCCAAGGCAATTCATTAGACCCAGAATAAGCTACTGTCCTTTCACACAGGCACCAGAATAACTTCCTGTAACCACAGATTTATTGAGCTTGTGTAACATAGGTGCATCCTTCCCCATTCCCTGGGAAAAGTACCCGGGAAAAGCTGCACTGCCAGAGCCGATTTCCTTCCCATCTGCGTTGCAGGGAGGGAATCACTGTGTGCACACTGTGCTGTGCTGTGATTTCACTATCGCTGTGCACCTAGTGAAAGCCTTGCTGGGTGTGCCTATCACAGAGAGACTGCAAATCAGTGCTGCTGCAGGCTATGAAAGAGGTGCAGTGGTGGGGCAGGGAGAGCAGGATGTTTGCTGTATGGCCTTAGATGTTACCTGTTTAATAAGGTTCAAACTCCACTTAGTGCTGTGCCTGAAGGGAAATAAACATTGCACTTCCTGCTGCAGTTTGAGTTTTCTGTGTGAAGCTGCCTTGAAAACACCCCCATAATGGAAGGGAATGTTATTTCAAAACTAGTGCTATGGGAAAATACCCCCAAATTCAAAGAGTCCATATGGGGTCTCTGCAGACAGCTCTCCAGCTTTATCTAAGTTCTGCAGTGCTTTGTTTCCAAAGCCCAGCCTTCTCCACTTCTGTCTGTAGAACTGATCCCATATGTCAGACAAGACATGCTGAAAAATGGGAAGACGAGTTTGTTTAGGAAAACTGAACTGGATACTTGTCCAGTGTGACAAAGGAAGCCTTTGGTAGAGGTTGGAGGTAGATTTATTACCGAGAAAGGGGGGTTTCTTTATTAAGCAGTTCTCAGTGTGCAATTATCCTCTCTCTTCAGTGTGTTGTGAAAAATGTCTTGGACTTCTGGGAATGCTTAGGGAAGGTGCTATCACACAAAATCCTTGCTTCCAGCACTTTTTTTTTTTTTTTTTTTTAATAAAATAAAAAAAGACATGACAGTTGTATGTGATTAGAGAATTTTGCTTCCCTGAAAGCTGGGAATAAATGAGCTAAACCAATGTACTGGCAATGCCTGGAAGAGCATTGAACTTCTGAAACAACTTTGTAGAAATTCCTTTTCCTAGTGATCTTTGAGGTATAAGGACAGTAAAACACATATTTGAGACTTCTGTATCTTGGGTTATAACTGGAGTTTCTTTTAAAAGCAACTTCACCTAATAGATCAGTCTAACTTTGTGTTGCTAAGAGTCACTGGCCATTAACAGTCCCCACTCCATATGGAATTCTGTATTTTATTTCCTGGTAGATCCTATCAGGTCACTACTGGCTTGATAAGCCTAGAAAGTTGATGGTTTTTTTTCAAGCACTTTGCCTCAATTTGAGGAGTAAAGAATGTGCTAAGTTACTCAATGGTAATTCATATGGAAGAGGTTTTTTGTCACCACCTTTTGACTTCCTCTGTCTATGTCCAGCTGCAAGAATAAGCTCTACCTGGAGAAGCTCCCAAACACCAGTGTGATAATACCATTCCACAATGAAGGATGGTCTTCCCTCCTCCGGACAGTGCACAGTGTCCTAAACCGTTCCCCACCTGAGCTGGTAGCAGAGATAGTGCTGGTGGATGACTTCAGTGACAGAGGTATGATCATCTGTATGTAACTTCACCATGCTATCCTACCTATGCTTTCCTACCTAAGGGGTCAATTACCTTGGACATATGTGTATAATGACCAACAGCAGAGCTCAGGTGAAACTCATGTTCCATATTCAGTTTATGCTGATTTAGCTGCTGGTGGCATAGGCTATTCTGTGTCTTGGACAGTGTGAATAAACAGGGAAACTGGATTTAATATTCTGCTAAGGGCCTGTATAGCCCTTAACATTTAACCCCAGGATTAAACATTTGAAGCTTGGAATAAAAAACAAAGTGGGGAACAGCTCACTCCTCACATTCTGCTTTTTTTTTTCCCAGACAGAGAAAATGGTAAAAGAAGCCTTGATAATAGAAGGTTTCCACCTCGACTGCCTATGATTTGGCTTACTTATCTCCTGAATTTTGTGCTCCTGAAAAGTAGATCTGTAACATCCAAAGCTTTGACTGCTCTCACTTGCTTGCAACTACATTCCTTATTTTGTACTGCATTGCCAGGAGTAGTCACTGTGGATTGGGCTTAAGTGCTATGTGCAAAGACGTGTAGCCGGTGTCATAACGCATCACCAGAAATGAAACAGCCACTTGTAACTGCAACAGCAGTGTGTAGATGTAGTTGCTGAATTTACTTGTTCCGTAGCAGAAAGGCACAGCATTGTCTTGTGGTTTGTGCTCTTGCTATGGTGAAAAAGGCAATCAAGTGGAGGAGGAATGAATGCCTCGATCATGTAGACACTACATAGCTAGAAAGATCACATGGAAGTCCCCTGAAGTAGCTGGTGATCTCCTGTGCTGAGGAGGGTACGGTGACTTTAAGGGGGTTATGATTGAGTCTAGCAACTCTAGTTTCTCCTTTAAAATTAGACTCTTTAGCTTTATAAGCTGCAGAGTTTGAGTCGTGCCACTGACATTACTCAACTGGGGGAAAGAGCATCTCTAAGCAGATGCTTAAGGATACACCTCCAAAAATCTGACATGTAGGAAGCTCTCAAAATGAGCTTGGAAACAAGCTTGTGAGTATTCAGTGTTCTGACCTATACTGACTTCCAAATAAGCACCATGCGACAGTTATAGTATTTGTTCTGAAGTACATCTCTAATTAGCTTGCAAGCAAAGTATGCTGGCTTGCACAGATCTATGTTATATGAAATAAGCATTTCTTTAGAGGATTTTCAGACTAAGCTGGGGAGGGAAAGTAAAAAAAAAAAAAATCCCAAACACCCTCCTAACAAGGTTTCTTTACTGCTATTCAGTCTGGAAGCAAATTAGACAAGCTCATGCTGTAATCACAGCTGAATTGTACAAGCAGGTTTCTTTTGAGGGAAGTGGAAGTAATGAAATCTGGTTTCCTGTGGATCTATTTTCCTTGTTCTCTAAACATTCCCCTCTGACCAGGCAAAAGAGAGCACTCCTGGCTGCCCACCCCAGCTCCTCATCAGTCTGTACACGTGCTGTTCATCCAGCTCGCTCTTGCTCTGTTCCACCTGCCTCTGATAAGATGCAAGCTCTTCTCCGTCAGTCATCCATCTTTCATCTGAAGGTTGCAGGAAGTAGCTGAGATTAATTTGTGTGCAGCATCTATTTATAGATGGTTATAAAAGACTACTGGTGTTGGACAGTGAGCTAAATTGTCAAGGGAAGAGAATGACACACAGGCAAAGAGAGTGCTAATGAAACTTTGTTTTAAACTAGTGTGTGCCTGCTACCTCAATTGATCTGTGCTTGTTGGGACAATTACTGGTTAGGATGAACATCTTTACTTCACTGCTGTCAGTTCTGTATCTGCAATGTGGAGTTTCCTGCTGGCTGCTGCTCCTTTTCCAGTAGTCAGTGGTCTTCCTTAACCATGCTGGGGTTGGCTTCCACATCCCTCCTCAGGTTTAAATAGATCTTTAGTCTTTCAGTGGTGGTCTTGGCAGTCCTGGGGCAATGGTTGGACGTGATGATCTTAAAAGTCTTTTTCAACCTGGTTGATTCTGTGATTCAGGAGGTTAAGTTCTAAACACATGATCTTGACTTGAAAGGCTGCTGGTTACATATTTGTGGGTTTAATTTAGCCATTGTATATATTTAAAAAATAAAAGCCAAATCCCAACACTTCAGTCCCGTACTTGAGAACTGGGAATTTAATTCATCAAACTGAGCTGCATGAAGGAGCAGAGGCTTCAGGAAAACTTTAACTTTGAATGGGCACATTCTTGGATTTGGACTGCTGTGGTTGTTTCTCATGATTAAATTGGGTAGGGGATAAAAACCCTGTGTCCAAGTTGATGATCGTCACTGCTGTGCCACAGAACTGGTGAGCAGTAAAAAGAATGAGGAGACATTGTCTGTAAGGTGCAATTCTGTGCTGCTTATTTAAATGGTAGACCCACAGATCTGTTACAGCACCTATCTTCTGAAATTATAGAATCACTGTTAGACACAGAGGCCACATTTGCAATCAGAGAGGCATGGTATGAACAGTAAATGTCAGCTTCTTCCCCAAAGAGATCAGTAAATAGTCATCATAAACTCCAGCGAAGAGCAAAAGATGAAAAGGATAATCGCTCAATAAAAATCTGTTATTAATTCTTTTATCAAGAGGTTACCCTGACAAGATAAAGTACCAGATACACTCTGCTGTATCTCATGATGGCCTTTCACTTGAGGCTTGTCTAAACCTCTGTCTTAAAGGCCAGACCTCCAGCACTTTAATAACTCTTCAAGAACCTGTCTTTCCCTGGCAAGGAGACTATATTCCTCTTGCTAGCATTTCTTGTGTACTGACCTGTGCTGGGGTTAAATGTACTGGGCTTTCTGAGCTGCCCTTCAGGTTCTGTTAGTGTTGTGCTCTTGTTCTGCACTGGTCTCTGGAGGTGGAGATGTTAGTGCCAATCCATCAGCCTCTTTCATGTGTGTATCACGGACATGGAGAATCTGCTTCACATAAAGAGGATTTTGCTAATGATAGAGTAAGTATGGAAACCTGGCTGCTGCATGCACCGGTGTGTTTCGACAGATGTTACTTTCATACCTTTTTCATCTGTTTTTAGGCTTGAGAGTAAGGAATTCTGGGTGTGACAACAAAGAAGGTAGAGGAGTTGGCTAACAAAGTGATAAGAGAGTGAAGATAGATGTGTGCTGTCTGCTGCATACCTGAGAAGCAGCTGGGTTGCTTTGCATTATTGGAGCTCTTGGACAGATGAATCATCATCTGGAAGTGTCAACAGCCATTTATTTCTTAATTTGTTTGAAAGAAACAATTGTGTGACCTTTAGCAATAAACATTTTTCAACCAAAAAAGGCTGTCCTGATGACAGCAAATCTTAGCAGCCAGCAGCAAAAGCTTTGAGAGCTGGGTTTTTGAAATGCTTCCTTTGCTTTGTATTTGAAAAATCGAATTGTGCTGGAACAGCTTGCCCTCTGGAATTCTTTTCTGCATGCCTGTAGTATAATGCAAATGATCAAAATCCAGCCTTCAAACAAGTTTAGTGTTGGATTCCACACCGGCCACAGTGCTCTGGGAACGGCATTGTGGGGTCAGGCTGATGCAGTACAGTGGGGGCATCCGGTTTGCCTTGAGGTGCAGACCATGTTGTCACCTCCAGCAACTGTGTTTGCTGACACTTGGTTCTTTGTGGGAATTCCCTTGTTAGCTTGGGTTAGAAGTTTCTTAAAAGAAGCTGCTCTCCAGCATGTGCCATTGGTTGGTCACAACAGAGTAAATACTGTGGGGCTGTTTCCTGCTTTCTCTGATAGTATTACCAACATAGCATTCCCATGAAGATTGCTGTAATAGCTTATTATTTTTTCCCCACAAACTTATTTGGGATGTCTGTGATAGAAAGACTTTGTTCTCCTGACCATAAGCATTTGAAAACAACTGTAAGGACTTAATGTGCAGCAGAACATAGGTTGTATTGAAGGAGGAGACACCAGTTCAGCAGATGGTTGCTGGAGAGTAAGAATGAACCTGTCTGGCATTGCCTGCCTCTTCCTGCATGCTGCTGGGAACTGCTGAAGACTCACAGACTGACCTCCAGGGATTAACTTTGGCTGTTCCAGGGTGGTCAGAATAACACCTACCCACCTGGTTAAGAAGAAATCAGAATTCAGTACATGTGAAGTACAATTTTAGAATTCCTGATCATAAAAGATGCTTAGCTATGGCAGTCCTGTGTGGATTTATGGCTTCACTTTTAATTTCTATAGCTATTCTTTAGTTCCAATCTCAGTTAAATTAAGCCTTTTCATATGCTGGCTTGCAGAGTACTAATTATATCCCTCTGAGCTTGCTGTTACCAGAATGGCTTTAAGTAAACTGAAATGTGTTTTTCATGTGTATCCGTTTTCTCCTGGGGACTGTCAGATGTGAAATTTGTTTGCTTTTTGATTATTTAATTACCATGCAGCAGAGTGGTAAGTGGGTTCTATTATATCATAGCAATGGGAGGAGGGGAAGCGAGGTTGAAATGCAGGGCAGTTTGTAACACAGCAGGTTTTTGTACCGGCTCTGAAGGCATTTTATTATTGATAGCAGGCAACAGACAAAGCAGTTCCTGATTTTTTTTCAGGGGCTGCTTCAGTCCATAGACCTACAGTCTGAATCCAGCTGTGGTTGTGAGAAACCGAGCTGTCCTTCTCTAGTCTGTCTTGTACAAAATGGATGAACAGGCTCAAGCTGAAGGAACAGAGGGCAGAGGATCGCACGCTTTCTCTTTGCAGGGTGCTCGTCTAACTGTTCTTTGCTTTTCACCTGATACATATTTGGTAGCTCCATAAAGCAGTGGAACATCACGTATATACTGCTAACTGAGTGAGTGGCAGAAGTCAAACTCTCCTCTCTAGTGTCTGTTCTGGAGAAGAGATCTCTTTCAACTGGAGGCTGGACTGGGACATGTACAGCATCACAAATACTTGAGGTTGGAAAGGATGTCTAGAGATCATCTAACCCAGCCCCTCTGCTCAGTTACAGCAGATTTCTGCAGTTTATTCACTCAGGTTTT